CAGGCTCTTTTTTTTTTTTTTAATCCTCATCCGAGGATATTTTTTCCATTGCTTTTCAAAGAGAGTGGAAAGGGGAGAGAGAGAGAAACATCGATTGGTTGCCTCCTGCATGCTCCTGACCTGAGCTCCCGATCAGGGCCAGAATCAAGCCTACAACCAAGGCACATGCCCTTGGCAGCATCTGAACCTGGGACCCTTCAGTCTGTGGGCTAATACTCTAACCACTGAGCCAAACTGGCCAGAGCTGGGTCATTTTTTTAATCTACATTGTTGAGATGTAATTAACATACTATACAATTCAGCCTTTTAAAGTACTCAATTCAGTGGTTTTTATTTTATTTTTTACTTTATTTTATTTTTTTATTGATTTTAGAGAGAGAGGAAGGGAGAGAGAAACAGGTAGATAAATCTCACACGCACCCAGACTGGGTATGGAATCTGAAACCTAGGTATGTGCCCTGACTGAGAATCGAACCCACAACCTTCTGGTGTATGGGATGACCCTCTGACCAACTGAGCCACACCAGCCAGGGCAGTGGTTTGTTTTATTTATTTGTTTGTTTGTTTGTTTGTTTGTTTTTTAATCCTTGCCCGAGGATATTTTTCCATTGAGTTTTAGAGAGAGTGGAAGGGAGGGAGGGGGAGAGAGAAACGTTGATATGATAGAGACACATCAATTGGTTGCCTCTCGCATGCACCCAGGGACTGAGCCTGAAACTGAGGTACGTGCCCTTGACTGAAAATCGAACTTGCAACCCTTTGGTCCTTGTGCCAACACTCTAACCACTGAGCCAAACCAGCGAGGCTAGGGCAGTGGTTTTTAATATATTCACAAAGTTGTGCAACTATCACCAGTATCTAAGTCCAGGACCTTGTCCTTACCCCAAAAAGAAAGCCCAGATCCATTAACAGTCACTCTCCACCTCACCCCCAGCTCCTGGCACCTACTAATCTTTGCATCACTATGGACTTGCCTTTTATGAACACCTCATGTAAGTGGAATCACAATATGTAGCCCTTTGTGACTGGTTTCTTTCACTCAACAGAATGTTTTGAAGGTTCATCCACATTGTAGGATGAATCAGTGCTTCCTTCCTTTTGGTGGCTGTATAATACTCCATTGTATATGTGTACCATAGTTTCTTTATTCATTCATTGATGGACATTTGGATTGTTTCCACTTTTTGGCTCTTATGAAAATGGTGCTATGATCATTTGTGTGCAAGTTTCTGCATGGACATATATTTTTGTTTTTCCTGGATATGTACCTTGGATTGGAATTGCTGGGTCACATGGTAACTCTATGTTTAACTTTTTGAGAAATTTCCAAATTGTTTTCCACTGTGGCTACACCATTTTACATCCCCACCAGCAGTATATGAGGGGTCCAATTTCTTTACTTCCTCACCAACACTTGTTATCTCTTTAATTATAGTCCTCCTGGTGGGTGTGAAGTGGTAATTTATTGTGGTTTTGATTTGCATTTCCCTGATGACTAGTGATGTTGAGCATCATTTCTTGAGCTTATTGGCCATTCGTGTATCTTAGATATACAATAGAAATGTGTATTAAGATATTTTGCCCATTGTTTAATTGGGTTATTTGTTTCTTTGTTGTTTAATTGAAAAAGTTCTTTATATATTCTGGATTCTAGACCCTCCTCAGATATATGATTTGCAGATATTTTCTCCCAGTCTTTAAGTTGTCTTTTCACTTTCTTGATGGTTTGCTTTGGTGCCCCAAAGTTTTAAATTTTGGTGAAGATCATTTATCTGTTTTTATATTGTCGCTTGTGCCTTTGGTATCTTATTTAAGGAGTCATACATAATCCCACGTCATGAAGATTTACCCCTGCCTTCTTCTAAGAGTTTTGTAGTCTTAGCTCTTACATGCAGGTCAGTGCTCCCCTTTGAGTTAGTTTTTGTGTGTGGTGTGAGGTAGGGGGTCATTCTTTTGCATGTGGATACCCATTTGTCCTAGCACCATTTGCTGGATAGACTCCTCTTTCCTCCAATGGACCAGTTTTAATTTCCCAGTGTCCCCACCCCTCCCCTCCACTGTGCTCCATAGATTCAGAAGCAGTGAAGAAGGCAGCCTTGGAGATGAGGGAGGAAGAGCTGGTGAGCGAACGCACAGAAGCCTTCACCATTGCCCGGAACCTCCTCACAGCTGCTGCGGATGCCATTGAGAGGATCATTTCATCCTACAAGGAGGTACCCCACCCCCACAAATCCACCCCTACCATGCCCTCTATCCCACCCCCAGATGGCAGGAGCTGAGCCAGGGTCACCCTTCCCACAGGTGACAGAGCTGGCCGGCTACACAGCCCGTGTACATGAGATGTTCCAGGTGTTTGAAGATGTCCAGCACTGCCATTTCAAGAGGCCTGGGGAGCCAGAGGACGCTCAGGCAGCGTCCAGGGCTGTGGTCAGGTCTGGTGTCCGTGTGGAGGGTCCCCTGCAAATCCGTGGTAAGGGTTCCCTTCCTAGAGAGGCCCCACTGGTCCCTGCCCTCCCACCACTAGCACCTCCCAGTGCCACCCAAAAGGCAGGATCTTTGAGTTGTGCCCCCAGGGAGGGCTTCCTTGGTGAGTTGTGGCCCCCACAGCCTTCCTTCCCAGTGTAGTCACTGCTGACCAACCTACTCACTGCCCTGTTCCTTCTAGGTGCCGTAGTCAGGATTTCTCCTTGCAAAAGAGGGGGACATGATCCTTGAGTAAGGGAGTCACTTGCCCATATGGGCAGCAAGAGAAAGTTAAAGCCTACAGTAGGGGCCAGGATGCTGTGATAAAGGGCCCACAGTGTTTGAGCCACCACTGAGATGGTGCCAGGAGGGAAGGGCTTCAGAGCAGGGGTGGACTCCATGCCTTGGATTCCAGAAGCCATAGAAATAGCTTTGCCTCTCCCCACCCAGAACACAGCACCAGACACTGGGGTGGGGGGGCTCTGCTTGTAGGAAGACCCAATGTACTCCCAAGGAGCCTTGGGCCACACACTGGCATGCTTTTGGAGGTC